TTTTTTTAAAACCCTAAAATATAATACAGATTGAGGTGGTTAACAATTGTGGACAAAGTTTGACATTTCAAAATGACCAGTAAAGGAATTATTTTTTTAATTTCTGATTTGCGTTGTAACTTATTGAGTATTGACACCACAATGTTTGATTAATGTGGCAAGATTTGTAAGCTTTACCGGTCCAGCATCCTTCTGGCATGGTCTTTGAGGTTTCTTCCTTCAACTCTGCACAACGTTGACACCTGAATAACACATGCCAATGTCAGGCGGGTAGTATTATGTGTGTCAGTGTACAAGTGTTTACCAACCTTAAACACTGAGGCCCATTGACGTGCAAGTTTTCCATCACTAACCCTTTAAAACTCTTTATTCCAGCAGTTTAAGTTTTTCCCTATTAGTGCCCCCCACAATCTGTCTCTGCCTCCAAAATTGTCTGGCACAACTGACTTCATAACAACACAATGATAGCTGCTGTAACTAAAAAGTAGCCCAGTACACACATTAACCTCAAATGTACATGGAATAATAAATTAACCCCTAGTCCCCTAGCGTTTTATTACATTGTTTTCTGTTTGTACTGTTTAGGTTTTAATGCTGAATTGCACATCTGAGCTATCTGCACTTTTAATACTGCTGCAAACTTTTTATAATTGATCATTTTCTATTGCCATTTTAAATAATTATTTTTCTTAAGATTTACTATCAATTTGGAAGTTTCAAAATAAATCTTATTGTAACGTTACTTGTACAATGACAAAGCTATTCTATTCAATTAGCTCATGCTCTCTCTGTATCTAACATGCCATTGTTCAGTCATAAATTCAATATAATAATTTGAATAAATGATGGACTTTGTCAAAGATGAGAGCTTTAGTGAGGAAATGTTGTTTTGGAGAGTTTTATTTATTTTTTTTGTTTTTTTTACTACTGCTGCCCGGATCTTCTCAATTTCCAACCGCTTTTCCAGATGTTGAAACTCCTCCTCAGTTTCTCCAATTCTTCTGAGTGTGTTCACTGTATAAATTAATATGGATTAATCTTTGTCAAAGCTGTGTTTCTGTTGTTTGCTCTTTCGCCTCTTCTTGCACCGTTTTAAAATCGATTGAGTTTGTAAACACGTACAAATGATAAAACTTTTACTCTATTAAATTTTGCAATTCATCCTCTGAACACATGCGTGCTGAACCGTAGGCCTAGTCACGGATCACTATCAACTACGATCTGCTCCCTTCACTAAAATGTCACGGTTCCTAAACATAACAAATAATATAGATAAATAATGAACACGTCAAAACTAATACACAGATACTTACAAGACCAAGTAGGAATGTCCTTTATCGTTTGTTGTTTGCCTGCTGCTCTCCGACAGGTAAACTTGGTGCTCTGTCGTGTAAAAACAAAATTCAAAACGCAACACTGATTTCTACTTTCTCTCATGTCTCGCGTTGCCAGTAGTCATGTTTCAGTAGGGCTACAATTGCCATCTATCGTTTGGGAATTGTAATTGCATTTTTATTTATAAAATGAAAGACAGCCGAATATCAATAATATCATATAATGTGCATGAATGTAACATTTAGCTTGTGGGATGCATGGCATCATACTATCAAATGCAAGTAAACTTTTGAAACATTTAAATTAGCATTATTTTTGGCATAATAAATAATGCTATAATTAATAATGCTGTAAAATAATTAAATAAAATATAAAATAATGCTAATTTATATGTTTCAAAAGTTTACTTGCATTTGATAAGAAGCTGCGTGGGCGAAGAATACATGTAAACAATTTTAAGGCTATTTTGGCTATGCTCATCGCTGGTCTGGTTACTGGTATAGGGCTATAGCAAGCCGTTAAAATTAGACCACAGATTGCCTTGATTTCGCCAGGTGGGCTAAAAGCAGACTACACGTAGTCCGTCCAATTTAGAGCTAAATCGTGGCTACTTATAGACAATGTCATAAAATGACACTTATATCTTTGTAGATATTATTGACACTGCGAACATGATGGGATATCAACCATCTCATGCACTGCCTGGCCAAAAACTACAGTGAATCAGGTTTGACTATAAGTGGGCTACAGATAGCCACTCGGACTATGAGCTAAATCATGGCTACGCTCAGGCTACATATTGACAAAGAAATGAAATCAAACACCTTATAAACGCTGTTACTTTGCTTACATGATGGAATATCATACATCTCACAAGTTATTTTGCTAAAAAACGACATGAAACCAAATTCAAGGTTATTTGGGCTAGAAGTGGGTTACACATAGCTGAACTATATCAGGTCTGTACTTAACCGAGACGTTGAAATGACGTATATTGCTTGCTGGGAATGAGCCTATTTATTTATGCTTGCAGCTTTAAATCTGTCATTGATGGCCAATTTAAGCATGTGTGTACAACAAGGTACGTATTTGCAGTTCACATCTTTGTTTGCAGCTACCATATTAATAGCATTGTCAGGCATGCAAGTGACCAATTTACCGTCCAGGCCCCGTTGTTCTACAGATGTTATCAAATGACCTGCCTGGCTGGCAGAGGAGTGTCGCTCAGGTTTGCAGGACATAACTGTTCACCTTACCATCAGCAATAAAATGACACCTTATAGTTACATAGGACTCTGTAGTTAATGCTGTCCAACTGTCAAACAAAATGGAGACTAGGGCTGAAATGATTATTCGACTTTATCAACAATGTTGACAATAACATTTTTAAAAAAAGTTGTCAAATATTTTTGTTGTCGAGTACTTGCTTGATCTCATATGACCCATGTAAGGGCCTGCAATAATGTAACTTGACTAGTGTGGTGCTGCAGCTCAAGACCGTAATTCACCTCGCCAGTGGTGAGAAAATGGCAGTTCAGAAAGCATCTGATCATTGCGAAGTGGATATGTTTGTACAAGCACTGCAATCGGCAATACAGTAACGACACTTTTATTTATATAGTACTCTAATAGATTGATTTAAATCAAGTGGCTTTACAAAATTAAACATGGAAAAAACAATGTCGCTTTCACACTTGGTCTGAACCTGAGTTTGATTGCTCCCCCTGCCCTCGCTGGACTGTATTCATATTTTATTTTGGTCCGAAACGTGATTCGCTTGCGTCATCATGCCAGCAGCTGTTTACCCTGTTGCATAGTAATGACGGCGCAGCAAAATGCATAGCATTGCTCTCTTCATTTTTTAGGTTTATGTTTTTGAACTGTTGGTGTTGTTTCCAAAGCTTCAGTACATAACGGCACTTACGTCAGTCTTATGAATGTACTACAAATGCTCTAAAAAATGCTGAAGGCAAACAGAAATGTATATTAGCTCTCTGCTTGCAGCGTCTCAGTCACGCTCGTCAGGAAAGTGAGTGAAATGCACAATACCGTTTTTTTCCAAATAAAACGTCATTAATAGTGGTTCACTTCCGCGATTTGGTACTGTTGCGTTCATATCAGCAGCAAACCGTATTGGAGTTCACTTGAACCGTACCCCAGACCACCCCTTTTAAGCGGACTTGGGTATGGTTCGTGGGTGCGCACCCAAGTTCAGAAGACAGCGTTCATATCCAAACGTACCGAATTCTGACGTCAATCGAACCGAAGTGCTAGTGTGAAAGCACACTTAGAATTACAACTTGACTTTCTGTTATTAAGCAGCTCACCAGTGTTGAGCTAGCTAATGTTAAATCTTTTTATTAGTGAATGCCAAAAAAAAAAAACTAATTATATTAAAGTGATAGTTTGGTTTGCAGAGATTAAAGCTTGATCAGGACTGTTTTGATTTTTATAACAATATAAGGTGTTTTACGAGAGCTAATGTTGTGAATAAAATTTATCGAAAAATAAAATGTCTTATAATTTGCCATTATTTTGTTCCATATTACTTACAAAAGATGTTAGGCAGAATGAGTTACTTTTTTAATACAGTTTAAATGGTTGTGGTTTTTCATACAATGAAATATATTTATTTATATTGTAAAAAATAATTGTATAATAATTAATATAATTATCTAATATTAATATAATTGTTTAGCTAAAGTGATTAAATTGTTAAAGTTAGAATATGTATAATAATATTTTAACTAATTGTAAAAGCTGAATCATTGATCAACGCTTACTCGTTAATCTGTGAAAAAAAAAATCTAATATAGTCAACTAATCATCTATTATCAAAATAAAAGTTTGTTGCCGACCTGATGGACACGAAGTCTACTGTCTCTAAAGTAGTTTGGAAACCATGCTTTCAAGCTGAAGCTCTGGTTTTGGTAATGTCGTAATCTTCCGTGATGGAATATCACCATAATTGACTATTCGTGCACACCCCTTGTTTATTTGTCCACAAAACGAGTCAAGTTCCAGGGGTTTTGTTAAATCTACAAATTGAGCTTTTGCATTTTGCGTTTCGCCAAAATCAAAACCACACAAGGGAACATCAATCCCTTTTCTTTTTTCACTTTTTTTCCATGTACAACAGATTTAAAAATTGTTCTCGTTTTTACTGCTTAGACAGCCAAGTTTTATTTAAGCCCAACTTGCCAGTAGTGAGTTACCCCTTTAAATCTTGCAGTGTAAGTGCAATAGACATGTCACTTGATCTATCATGTATGGTATTTCTTTGAATTTAAAAGCAATAAGCACAAAATTTAAACATTGTCATGTGCAGGATATTTATCAAACAATGATGACATAGCACAACACTCTCTGCTACAACAGATTTGTGCTCGTCAAATCAAACTGCATAAGTACAGCCCCTTATCTGAGAAGAGTGCACAAAATCTCCCAAGCAGCTTTTATTTAACAAAAATGTTTGTCACTTGTTTAAGATGATGCTGATTCTCTTTCTCTATTGTTTCTAGGCCAGAAGACATGTCTTCATCTGCATGGTGTGTTCCCATACATCTATGTGCCGTATGATGGGTTTGGACAGGATGCAGACCGTTACCTTCGGCAGTTGGCCTACAGTATCGACAGAGCTCTGAATGTCAGCATGGGAAACCCCTCTTCTAATGTGCAGCACATCTTTAAAGTGGTTCTGGTGTCTGGCATGTATGTGTAAAAGGGACACAAGTGCACACTAGTGTTTTCTTGGACCACTACTAATTTTAACTCATTTGATTTAGGTTTTTATTACATAAGAGATTTATATATCTGCACAAGCCTGCCTGCACAAACACAGATCAACACCTACTTCATCATTGCCTCTTAGCCCACCCACTGGTGCATTAATGTGTTCAGGCAGAAGAAATACGGGACAGGATCACTGCACTAAAAACATTACCTTTTAAATCTTGTTACGAACGTGGCTGTTTATTTTCAGCCATTTGAATGTTTTGGAGCATTATTTGTTTGTTCGGTGTATTTCACCATGGATTCTTTGGGAAACCAGTCGAAATTTGGTTTGGTTTGCAGGCTTTGCTAATTTTTTTATGGAACGATATGGACCCAACAGTAATGTTGCAACATGTAAGCAACCAGTGACTAAATTATCAGCTTCACAATGTTCCTTTTACTAGTATATTTTATATAAATTGATTAAATTATATAAAGAAAGCGAGCAAAGAGTGCTCCCTTTAAATCAGATCTATCAATCAAAAAGTGCCAGCTCAGAGTTGCACTTTTGCCAAAACTACACTAATCTACACTGATCAATGAAACTTGATAATATTAATAAAAAGCATATATCTAAATAGAATGCTATATTCCACACTTCATAAGTAGTTAATCTTGGCAGCTTTAGTGTTAAGATCATAGCAAAAGTTTTCAAAACCGTTCCACACATAAAATTGAATTCAGTATGTAGTGTAACACTTTTCACAAGTGTTTTCAATGGTACAATCAGGAAGTAGTCTGTTAATTAATCCGAGATGAGTGTGTCAAAATATTATCCATGTGGCAGTAGTATACTGCTATGAGACAGATCATGCATGTGACTCATCATTATTTCAGTTAAGTAGATATAATGAATATGTTAGGCAATGATTACATCTTATGATCATAATGACAATATAAAGATAGTATTTGATTGCGTTTTGTGAATGCTTGGCTGGAAGACATGGCTCTTTAACTTCGATTTAGAGAGTATATCTGACCCCCAGATATTTTTAGGAAGGCTATTCCAGTGTTTAAGAGTCAAATGCAAAATGTTCTGCCTCATTAGAAAATTTTAGTACTATAAAAAGTCCAGAGTTTTGTGACCTTAAAGAACATGATGGGTTGTAGCATGATAGAGGATCAGTTAAATATGAAGAAACTAGACCGTTTAGGGCTTTACTGCAAAAAGGAGCATAATTAAGCAGATACAACTTTTTGTAATATTATAGACATAAGTAGGATTTGAGTTGGGTCTGTAATTTGCTAATTCTCTATAGCAGATGTTCTCAATTCCAGTCCTCACGTACCACCGCTCTGCACATTTTGTATGCATCTCTCATCACTTCAGACGTTTCTTCTATTTGACCATAAGTTCCCTGTGAAGTGGACATCACAGGATATTCCTCCATGAACATATGGAACATTGTTTGAAGGGCGCATATACGGTCCATTCAAAGGGGATTAAAGTGTGTGAGACATTAATTTAAATTGTATTTATTGACAGAGGTATATTGTCACATTTCACACTTCGCTAGTAAGTTTTGTCAGTGTGTGAAGATGCTGCAGGCTATAGCATAGCACAAATCCATGAATGAATGTTTCAAAGGGAAGTAAACTTCAATGGATTTCGTGTGCCCAGGGAGTAGAGAGCAAAGAATGCGGTGTAGGGATCATGTCAATAGGAAAACAGTTCACGCATTAGCTCTCTTCTAACAAGCTGGTTATCTGAATCAGGTGTGTTAAATAAGAGAGACATGCAAAATATGCAGAACGGTTTTATGTGAGGACTGTAATTGAGAACTACTGCACCATAGGATCTAGAGCAGGGGTTCTCAACTCTGGCCTGTGAGATCCATTGTCCTGCAGAGTTCAGCTCCAACCCTAATCAAACACACCTGAACAAGCTAATCAAGGTCTTTAGGATCACTCTGGCTGCGTTCCAGTTAATTTTTTTTATGCCCTTCACTCGCAAACTTCCCTCCATCTTGTTTACTTGGATGTACGTCATTGATTACGTTGAACCCTTGCAAAACGCGATCTGCGATGACGTCACAATCTTGTTGCGTTGTGGTCTGTGGAGTGGCCTGAAGTGTGCATATGAAGCAGACTTGCTCCCTCTGTGAGATTCCTTTCAGTAGTTTAGTGGTAGGGATCTAGTGTACATGTCGTTAGTTTTGATGTAGAGTAAGTTTTGTAAGCTCTTCCTGTCCTGTGGGAGTAAAGGACTGCAGTTTTTCTTAATATGCAGAACGGTTTTATGTGAGGACTGTAATTGAGAACTACTGCACCATAGGATCTAGAGCAGGGGTTCTCAACTCTGGCCTGTGAGATCCATTGTCCTGCAGAGTTCAGCTCCAACCCTAATCAAACACACCTGAACAAGCTAATCAAGGTCTTTAGGATCACTCTGGCTGCGTTCCAGTTAATTTTTTTTATGCCCTTCACTCGCAAACTTCCCTCCATCTTGTTTACTTGGATGTACGTCATTGATTACGTTGAACCCTTGCAAAACGCGATCTGCGATGACGTCACAATCTTGTTGCGTTGTGGTCTGTGGAGTGGCCTGAAGTGTGCATATGAAGCAGACTTGCTCCCTCTGTGAGATTCCTTTCAGTAGTTTAGTGGTAGGGATCTAGTGTACATGTCGCTAGTTTTGATGTAGAGTAAGTTTTGTAAGCTCTTCCTGTCCTGTGGGAGTAAAGGACTGCAGTTTTTCTTGGGGGGAGGACATTGGATGCTAAAAACTGAAAGGCTGCTATTTATTGTAAAACGTCTGATTGTCTGTTAATTTTTCCACTGTACTGAATAATAATTTACAGTTGTTTTGATAACTATATAATTATCAGAGGTGCTCAGCCTTGCCAGGTGCGTAGAGCCCTGTCTGTATCTAGGCTTATTGTCATTTCAAGTAATTAAAAAAAAAAACAACAACTTTGTTTTCCATTCGCACTTAAAGTTTGGATATGTTGTCTTGAGAGCATATCCAAAGAATATTCCCAATTATAGAAGTGAGCACCTGGCCATTTAAAAGGTGTTCTAAAATCAGTGTAGAAAATTGCTGTCTCCCAATTCATAAGCTGCATACATCGAAAGATGCAGACTTCATAGGCAACACTTTCGAAGTCTGCAAAGGTTGTACAAAGCATTGTTAAATGGATAGTCTAGCCTACAGAGGACTGATCCTAGCAATTGTGACCGCTACTGTCAAAGAATGGCAGTAATGCGTGTCTTTTTTTGAAAGTGATTAGCTGTCTGAAAACTAAACCGGGTTCATGACATGCCTAAATATATTCACATTGGTCCATTCATGTACGTACATAAAAAAAAATCAATATATAAAATCGCATCCTTAGTAAGATATGTCAACATTTTAAACAGCTTTTTTTAAATTAATTTTTTTATATTGTTAGAGATTTAAGTAAATTCAGACCCAGTACTTTAATACCGGATTACACTTTAAAATTTTCTTTCACAAAAATCCTTTTGTCACTGATCCGCAATTATTCTCTAGTTGTAATAGATCCATTAGTTGTATTTTTCATTGCCCAGGAAATGAAGGATGCATTTGAAGGTTTCTTCGATGTGGGAAAGCTTTCGTCACAATGCTGTGTTGCATCCAGTCATCGACTGCAGCCTCTGAATTGGGACACAGCTTTTGATGTAAAAATTCTGCTAACATAAGTGCACCTTAGGAAGCTGGTAATAAAAATGGAAACAATGGAGGAAAAAAAAAACCGTTAAGGTCAATATTGCGAATTTGCGACTTTAGTTTTTTTTTTGTATTTTTTTTTTTTGTATAATTTATTTAAATTATTTATTTATATTGAAAGCTATGGCAGTGCCAAGTATTTTGGACTTGGAGGCAATCACTGTGGTTCCTGGCTCAAACATACGGCTCCATTACAGCACTGGCCATCTTGAGCATCAAGACACATTGCACACATGAAAAATATGATTCAAAGAAGTATGCCAGTCACAGAGGAGTGCGTTTACTATGGAGATAGAATTGTTGCTTAATTCCAAATAAATAGATTACGATCCATAAATAAATGAAATGAGATTAACAAACATTAATTAAATTCACAAATAAATCAAATGAGATTTGCAAATAAAAAAAACATATCCACAAATATATATTTGTCATAACCACGACTTTGCCTGGCATTTATTTGTGAATTGCGTTCCGTGCATTTGTAGATAGCTGCACGCATTTGTGAATCGCGTCCTGTGCATTTGTGAATTGTGAAACATTTCTTCCATCAAGACGTGCTGACAATCCACAAATATGTGGACTCCACCCACCGTCTACTCAAGCCAATCAGCTAATAGCCACATTTCGCTGACCAATCGTAGCACGATCTCACTATAGCCAATCACATTTTGCTTTACATCAGGGCGGTCTTGTCCTGAGAACTTCATTCATCTGCATTGGCTCAAATATGTAATATAAGGGCCATAAAATGGGTACAGTAAAAGATGTTTAAAATTGGATTTCGTTAGACCATTAGACTGTGTATCATGCCAAGCCACAGTATTATATTTTACGTGCCTTTGAAATGTCAGAGAAACAGGGCGTGATGAAGTGTAGTAGGTTAGACTAGTGCGTGTGCATTTACAGTGCTTTCTTTCACTGTACGATTCAGTTTATTAAAATACATTTTGAATGATCACAAAATTCAAGATATGGGAGCAGAACATTTATAAATTGATATATAAATGATATTTATATAAACTATAATAAATGATATAAATGTAGTTTCTTTTCTCCAAAAATCAACATGATTTCAAATGTGATATTAAAATTGTTATATTAATATACAGTTCAATAAACAAAAAGTTAATTAAGAGACTTAAGTTTTAGATCTTAGAAGTTTTCAATCTTAACCATATTGCCTGTTTTTGCTCTATTTCGACAGCAAAAATTTACTCCAAACAAAGCCACAGCACTGTTTTGT